CGGGAGGGAGCGAGCGAGCGAGTGTGTGTGTGTGTGTGTAAAACCCTGTTTCTAAGGGCCTCAGAATTAACCAGTGCAGGCCCTGTGGTTCTGGACCGTCGCAAAAGGTACATGATAAGTCTTTGTTTGTGTCTTTGTTTGTTTGTCATACATCTATACAAATATGTAAGTCAATGTAAGTACATTATTTATTTATATGTACATGCCTACCTAGATAGATAAGCCAATGTTCATATACACACATACGTACACCTATGCATACCTACGTTTTCATGCACAGCTAGCGAGAGACACAGATGGGAGTGCGATAGAAAACCAAGAAAACCAGATGCAAGAGTGTGTGTCGGACTGAGTTTGACCCAGATTCTTCCTCCGTTGCGGATTTTGGACGTTTGATGCAAGTTGTTGCAACTGTATTTTGAAAGGGCAACCATGCATGAAACATAAAAATGCATACATGCATAGCAGTGCGACAGAGTATGATGTAAGGTTCGAGGATCTCTTACAAGTTCGACGGTTAGCATGGAGTTGAAGTGGTGTAAAGCTTGCAGTGTGAAGCTGACATGTGCCGATTTGCTGTCACTTGCTATCGGTTTTCTCTATGTGCAGGCATCACCGCGCCATGCAGCACTGTCAAATGCGGTTGCCGAAGAGGCTGCGGGCGCGTTTTTTCCACAATCTGGTTTTCAGTTTGGGATTTGGTCCGGGTCCGAGGCACGACTTCAAAACATTGAGACCCGAACGACGCTTGACCACTGCTGCTCTCGGCCTTCGTGGACTCTTTCCGGTTTCAGACCTTTTCCCGACGCATTTCGCGGTGTTAACCCGCCATCAAACAAGTCCTATACAAGTACCTGAGAGAAGCGCTGTCCAAAGCACGAAAGCTTCCGCGTTTATCATGCTCTGAACCATTTGTCGAGAAGATGACATGGGAGACACCCTGCTCCCGCGACAAGCGTGACAGCATCCCATCAGTGTGCTAATCCATATATTCTGTGCCCGAGGAATCTGTTTGAACTTGCTCGAGGCAACGTGATTGCTGGAGAGCAACAACGATGGACACCTTGCCAGGCTAACCCCGTCATCATCTAACTCCAGGTGCTGCCCACAAGTGGCAAACCACAGATGCTTTCTGTCACGCCTTGCAGCTTCAAGATCGCAGGCAGTTGCGCGAATTCGTGAAGCCACGCCGCAAGGTCCCCCGTTTGCAGTACAGGTCCGTCTTGAGTTATTGTCGCGATGCAGCCGAGGGCCCGATTCAGCTCTTCTTGGTGTGGTCTGGGGTGAGGCTCAGTGTTTGGGGTTTGTACACCCCTTAGTTTAGGGTATGGGCTCGGACATACTTCAAAATCCTCAGGACTCAGTCCGCGGTTCGGCTCGTGAGGCCGAAAAAGCCTTTGAATCTAAATTGAGGAGCCACACATCATTGCCTTTGGGGAGTTGCATGTGAGACTCCCAGGAAGAAGCTAGGAGCCGAAAGCCCCAGATCCACCTCGCGGTAGCTTTTCATTTCGGCTGCGGGATTGGATTTATACTGCTTCAGAGATTAGTCTGAAGCATGTTGCAGCTTGTGGTTGCCAGGATGAAATTGGTGACCCTCAGCTGGCTTCCCAAGCTTTTACTTGCCAGCTCATCCTCCATCGCCCAGGCCTCGCGAACACCGGATGGGCCTCTTCACTGCATCCAGATAGAGACTCTTGCGAGCTCTGAACTCAGCACTGGCTTACATTGAAGTTTTTTCTGCGGATGTAACAGCATGGTTACAGCCACTTTGAGGCACAGCCCTTGCGTTGGCACATCATCCACCTACACCTTTACAACACCTCTATTCCCTCAGCCTCGTTCAAGTAAAGAGCTAAGGACTGCAGGATCCCGGCTCATGTGCGGAAACCGCTCCTCAGCGCCACTGCTAGCACAGCCACCCTGGCTTTGGAGCCGCGGGGCAGTGCCAACATCTTGCGGGCACTCTGGCGAGGGTAACGGAGAGTATGCCAGCTTTCAGCATTTAGGCGCTGATGCAAAACAGTGCAAGGTGTTGGCTGGCTTGAAGTCACAGATGCTTCACTTGCTGCAGTGTCTGGGCTAGGCAGTTGGAGTGTCAGGTGCCGTCTATAGCTATTCAGGAAAGAGTGATCTTGCACGTTTGCCGCATGTGGCTTGTAGTAGATTCAGTCCATGATACACTACTTCGTGCACAATGCCATGATCGATGCCATAGACTCCCAGGGCTCCGGCATCCTTCGTTCCCAGCGCTCGACCTTCACCACAGAGCCTGGCACCTTCGCATTGCCGACCCTCTGTGCCTCGTCGAACCGTATTTTTGTAACCGGGGTTTCGATGTCTTGTCCAGACTTTGCGTCCCATGTCAAAGGCAAGCCACCACCCGTGGTAAACCCCTTAATGGCGTTCGAAAACCGTCGCGAAGGCGAACCCCAGCCGCAGTCCCTCTCCAATGCTGCATGGGCACCGGCTGAGACGAGATGCGTGAGTGGAAGGTCGGGAGCATTGCTGGGTTCAAGCAATCAGCAATACAAGGTCTGGGATTCAAGGTCACGTGCTCGGGGTTGTCGCCGACCCTTTCTTCCACAATGTATGCAAAAGCCAATTCAGGGTTGTTGTTCCAAGGTGTTTCTATGATCTGGGGGCAGGGGCGGTCGTAGAATCTATCGTGTGTGGGGGAAATACTGACCATGCAGTCTGACACTTGTGCAAGTTCGACGAGGTGAGGGCGGGCAGCCCCATGCCGTTTGATTCGAGCATCATCATCGTCGTCATCACCATCAGCAACAACATCATCATCAACGTCAACAGTACGTGGTCTGTTTTGCTTTAGCAGCAAACAGTCAGGTTTAGCAGGCTTGAGCAGATTCGGTACTCGGGCATGATATTTATCTTAGATATTCGGGGGCATCTCAACACTTTTCTTGTGCAACATACTTCATGTTTCGCTTACAACAGCCGGGATAAGAGCTGTCACCGCGGCCGTCGACCACGATTAGGTACAGCAATGGTGCAGCCGCGATTGCATGGACGGGAATACCACGTTGCAAAAGTTGTTCTGGTGTGCTTTCCTATTCTGGTCTCAGTAGTTTCTGACAAAGGACGTGAGGCATGACACAAGGCTTCATCACTCACGGACACCGGGCTTGAGTACTACACGGTCCCTGCAGCGTGGAGATAAAAAAGATCTAGGAACTACTCGTTCATGGCTACACAGTCTGGGACTGAGTGCTTGTGTGTCTGTCTCTCTGTCGCTGTCTGCATCTCTGTCTCTGTCTCTGTCTCTGTCTCTGTCTCTGTCTCTGTCTCTGTCTCTGTCTCTGTCTCTGTCTCTGTCTGTGCGTATGTATGTGTGTGTGTGTGTGTGCGTGTGTGTTTGTTTTTGTGTGTTTGACAACTGGCTTGCTTGCTTGCTTGCTTGCTTGCTTGCTTGCTTGCTTGCGTGCTTGCTCGCATGCTTGCTGGCGTGCTTGCTGGCGTGCTTGCTTGCGTGCTTGCTTGCGTGCTTGCTTGCGTGCTTGCTCGCTTGCGTGCTTGCTTGCTGGCTTGTTTGCTTGCTTGCGTGCTTACTCGCTTGCGTGCTTGCTTGCTGGCTTGTTTGCTTCTTTGCTTGCTTGCTTGCTTGCTCGCTCGCTCGCTCGCTTGCTTGCTTGCTTGCTTGCTTGCTTGCGAGCTTGCGTGCTTGCGTTCTTGCGTGCTTGCGTGCTTGCGTGCTTGCGTGCTTGCGTGCTTGCGTGCTTGCGTGCTTGCGTGCTTGCGTGCTTGCGTGCTTGCGTGCCTGCGTGCTTGCGTGTTTGCTCGTTTGTGTGTTTGTTTCTTTCTTTAGATTTTTCTTCTTGCTTGCTTGCGTGCTTGCGTGTTTGCTCGTTTGTGTGTTTGTTTCTTTCTTTAGATTTTTCTTCTTTCGTTATATTTTGTATTTGTTTATTTGGTTGGTTGGTTGGTTGCTTGCTTGCTTGTACGCTTCTTTGCTTGTTTGTTTTTTATTTGTTTGGTTGTTTGTCTGTTTGTGTGTCTGTTTGTTTGTTTGTCTGTCTGTCTGTTTGTTTGTTTGTTTGTTTGTTTGTTTGTGTGTTTGTTTGTTTGTTTGTTTGTTTGTTTGTTTTGTTACTTGCGTGCCTGCATGCTTTCTTGCTTGCTTGCTTGTTTGTTTGTTTGTTTGTGTGTTTGTTTGTTTGTATGTTTTGTCTGTCTGTGTGTTTTTGTTTGTTTGGTTGCTTGCGGTTTTTCGTTGTTTGCTTGTTTGCTTGCTTGCTTGTTGATTTGTTTGTGTGGTTGTTTGGGTCTTTGTTTGTGTACTTATTTGTTTGGTATGTTTATGTGTTTGTATGTTTGTTTGCTGGCTTGTCTGTCTGTATGTGTGCTTGCTTGCTTGCCTGCTTGCCTGCTTGCCTGCCTGCCTGCCTGCTTGTTTGTTTGTTTGTTTGTTTGTTTGTTTGTTTGTTTGTGTGTTTGTGTGTGTGTGTTTGTTTGCCGGTTTGCTTTTCGGTTTGTTTATTTGATTGATTGTTTGCTTGTTTGTTCGATATGTTTGCTTGTTTGGTTGTTTGTTTGTTTGTGTCGTGAGTTTCTTTGTCGTCTTGTCGTGTCTGTGTGTGTGTCTGCTTGTCTGTGTGTGTGTGTCTCTGTGTGTGCGCGCGTGTGTGTGCGCTTGTGTGTCTGTCTGTCTCTGTCTCCGTCTGTATCCGTGTCTGTGTGAATGTACGTGCGCGCGTGTGCTCTTTCTGTCTGTCTGTCTGTCTGTCTGTCTGTCTGTTTGTCTGTCTTCCCGCCCCACTCTCGTGCGCACGCTGTGCACGTGCCCGTTTGCTTGTACTGTGCGCCTGCCCATCCGGCCGTGCGCCCCCCGCCCGCGCCTGTTATCGATGCGGTCGAGCTCTCAGCAAGCAATATCGGTACAAGATTCATTCATACTGGGCTACCGCATAAAGTTCACAATTTGGGACTCGTGATATCGGAGTTGAGCATCATTAATACTGATGAAGAATACACATGGCTGCATGTTGCAGAGGCCCTTGCTGAGCTTCGCAAGAGACTTGGACGCAAACTATGAACCAGAGCCCGACAAGGACTTAACTTCAGGCCGAGACCATCCGGGCATATTTGGTTTAACATATGCTGGACATCCTTCAGCCTCTTCCATGACTAAGGCAAGGAATTTCTGCGCCGCGGCCCGCCTCATGTTATGGAAGGCACGCACATGTGGCAGGTTTACGGGTTTGGTATCATCTAACTCGGAAGTTGTGGTTTGAACGGGTTTAGACTTCTCCTGATAACAAGAGGCAAGCTTTGGATCTGCACAAACATCCAGCACTAGTACTTTGTCTGCAAATTGGATCTGAGTCCTGAGCAGAGAAAAACTAGGCAGTCATCTGCATTAGGTGCAAGATCCTTTGCAGACTTGACCGAGGGAATCTTCTGGCTGAAAGAACCCACCTAATGTGCAAACAAGTGGAGTCCACTCCCTCTCGCTCACTGCTTTTGACTGCCCTAGATGGGTGGAGCCGTTCCTCTGCCATGAACCAAAACACTGCAGCCTCCTCGGCATCCTTGTGTCCTCGTAGGTCGGCGTTGACCAGACTTGTTGGTGGGTGGCTATTCGCAAACTGGCAGAGCTCCCTTTTTATCATCGCCTTTCTACTACCACCACTACTACTACTACTACTACTACGACGACGACGACGACTACGACTACGACTACGACTACGACCTACGAGTATACGACTACGACTACGACTACGACTACGACTACGACTACGACTACGACTACGACTACGACTACGACTACGACTACGTACTACTACGTACGGCTACGTACTACTACGTACTCTGCGTACTACTACGTACTACTACGTACTACTACGTACTACTACTACGTACTACTACTGGGTTGGTGCTATCTGAGTAGCCAGCGAGAGAGCGAGCCAAAAGCACCCGAACAGATTCGCGACCGATTAGCCTCCGCAGATTCCATACCCTGCAAAGGAAACCACAGGCTGACCCGAACGAATTACCATACAATGCCCATACAACCACCAACCAGGAGCTGCAAGCACCAGCGACCCATCAGCACCAAGCCCCCCACCACCAGAACAGACACGACGCCCGTCCAGTTCCAAAAACCCTTTTCATCTTTATCGCTTGGGCCAACAGACGTGCTGTGTCGATTATCGATTATTGCATCCACGATCTTTCGAACCCATGCTTGGTTCCTAGCTCTTCTGTTAGGGCTACCAAAGCCTCGCAAGCCGACCCTGCAGGTCCTCACAGCTACGCTGTGCTGTGGGCTGCCTGGGTCTCCGGCGCGGAAGGCTTGCGGCTGCTGGACGAGGCGAGATTGGTGTTTAACTTAACTGAAGGTCGATGTGCAAGAGTTGTAAAGTGATTGTGGGTTCAGATTTAGTGGGAAAGCTGTCAGGGTCTTGCAGGCATCGCGGTATCGAGACAAAATTTGCTTTAAGTTTGCGCCAAATTGGCATCCCCCAACCCTTCCACGACACCCAGGCTAGGAGACAGGCCGCAGGGGCAAAGAAAGGCGAGAGCGGACCATCAGTCACTCACCACTCACTCAGCTACACAGTCACTTGCACTCACTCATTTGGGGTTGATAATTTAGTTCGGGATTCGTGATCTCGGAGATACAAGCTTGCGCGTTTTCGAGTTTCAAGGGCTTGGATGTTAGAGTTCATGTCATGATTTTCGGGGTATGGGCATGGATGCCGTTTTGTGTGGACAAACCCGGCATCCCTTTGCTTGTATGCTACTTGTGGTGTTGGGTCCTCGAACTCATATGCGGTCGAATGTATGTGTGCGGCACAATGTCCGTCCAGCGCACTGATATTTTGCAGTAATGAGAACGTCACTGATGCAGGTCATTTCCTGGCAAAGCAGCCGTTTGCGCCAGTGAGGTGGCCAGAATCGTTGCAGGATGCTGATGCATTTAAAGATGAGGTTATGCAGTGGAGCATTTAGGAAGATCATGGAACTTAGGGCTTTGACCTTCAGGGTCGGCGCTGAAGCAGAAGTTGCTTGCCCCAACTCTGCGTGCCTTCTCCTGAAGGGGTTCAGGGTTTGGGGTTTAGGGTTTAGGGCCAGCTTAGGGTTTAGGGAGGAGTCAAACATGGTAGAGACAACCAAGCATGAGCTTCGATGTATTTATTGCAGCAAAAGGAGCTGTCCCAAACAACGAGACAAACATCACTGGACAGACGGAGCCCGCGTGGAGGCGCAAAAGTTGCCAACAGTGTACAATCAGTTCCGGCCCGCTAAAAAAGTTACGACAGCTCGCTCGGTTCTTGTCATTCTGTGTTTTTTGGTATGCGATCCCAGACCAAACCCGAGCCCTCGTTACCATTGTTTAGATCCGAACATAAGCAAGAAGCACACGATGCTTGGCTTCACTCTCCTGATTATGCGCTTGTCGTCCTTGCCATCGAACATGTGAGATTGTAACTACAAAGTCCCCACTTGTCACACAGGGTTGGGAGATGAGGACCTGGACTTTCGTGCAAGCACGTTAAGTTTTACTGTGCCTGCACCAGGGGTTCGAATGAACGACTCGTCAGTTGTGTTCTTTGGTCATCCTGATATCTTGATTGTGATTGGCGATCTCAGATAGGCATAATTTAGTAGAGTGACAGGCTTGCCGTTCAAGCTAAGATATTTTTGGGTGCCAGGCTAGGTTACAGGACATTGTCTTGTATAAGCTCCTACATTGTCAGCGTTCGAAATCTTTCTTCATGTGAAAGACTGCGAAAACAGTAAGCAGCCTCATTCATGAACCTCCGCAGCCAATCTTTTTGAAGCCGCTGGAGCGGAAGTGGCAATCCGCGATGCAGGCAACCAGGGAGGGCGATCTACATCGTTTTGCGTGACAATAAAGCATGCAGCACACGTGCCGGATGATTTGCAGCAGAGTGACATGTGAATCCTTTGCGATCACAGACATTGCAAGGCGGCAGGTTTGAAAACGTTTTCGTTGGACATTCGGAATGAAACTTTGTCCTTGCAAGAGCACCTGGCAACCTGGGCTGTGTCTCCTTGTAGCTCGCACAGATTTCTCAAGCATATTACCTGAACGGCTAATGCTGTCTGTCAGCTTTGTGGAGCCGACCACTACATCCGTTATACCAGCGAACTTCACCGTGAAATGGTTTAACATTGCATCCGGATACCTTCCTAGATGTGCTACTTGCAGGTTGACATGCCTCTGGCCTTAGCTGCCGCGACCTCGTCGTGTCTCTGCGACGGGCAAGGTTTCAAAAGTTTAGATTGTGTTTTGCATAACGAGCAGGTTTTAATTCCCGGACCCTGTGACAGCGGCCGCGGTCTTCAATCGAAAGGCCGACCAACCCCGAATCCGAGGATCGAGGAGTATGACATAGTAGGAGTAGCAGTAGTAGCAGTAGTAGCAGTAGCAGTAGCAGCAGCAGAAGCAGCAGCAGCAGGAGGAGGAGGAGGAGCAGCAGCAGGAGCAGCAGCAGGAGCAGCAGGAGGAGCAGCAGGAGGAGGAGGGGGAGGAGCAGGACGAGAAGGAACAACAAGGAACTGCAAAATCCATTGAGAAGATCGAGACTAAGAGAAGGCGAACCACGCAGTTCACCAGATGTCTTGACACAGGTGCGTGAATTTCGAGAAGCCTACCATGAACGACAGAGTGCGACTGAAGGGCAGGGTTCAATACATCATGCAAGAGCCTGCTCAACACCTCAGCCAGGAGCCTCTGGAAATGTCAATTTCTTCACAGGCAGACCCCGTGATGGTGTTTCATCGATCCAGAATCCCTACCTCCTGAAGTTCAACTTCAAGCGATAGTCGAGGAACGTGTCATGAATTTGGAATAAAGAGCACAAGAAGTTCATGTTGCAGAGATCAGCCAGTGCTCACGAAAATATCCGTCTTGGAGCAAGAGGACTAGGGCCCAACCATCAGGATAACGGCAGCGGGATCATGTTCTTCAAGGCATGAGTGACATCAGTGCCGTGCACCACATCTGCAAGACGGAGAACGACAGGCATATGATGCAAGCGTCGGAGTTGAATCAAGAGGAGTCAACGAAGTCATGAACAAACAGAGGTTATGGCTCAACAGAAGCAGCACTATTGAACTTGAGAAACATTCGAGGTGAAGGAATGCTAATGGCCAAGGAATATGAGAAGGTGACCAACGAACTCTACGAGAGGGCGCGCGAAAATTGTGAACTTCGGTCAACTTTCCAGTTTCCAGCATGCAGAGTTGGCCGTGATTGCGGTGAATAACCGGTGTTCATTGTTGAAATCGGAGGACTCATCGAGCTTCCTACGTCGACAAGAAGGTTCGAAGCGGGATGGGAGATCTAAGTCAGAGCAGGGCGCACGAATTTCCAGTAAGTTCTGAAGTGCGGTCCCTTGAATTCACTACTCCTACGTTATGTAATCCTAAGAATAAGGAGAAGGTCGTTGTCGTTTCGCGGAACGATACGTCGCATGTCGAGCAAAAAGGTTCTCTGTGGCACAGCCGTGGACAGCTAGCTAATTACCTTCTGAACCGAGATTGCCGTCTTTTTGCAGATCCGCAACCGCAGCCACGACCACACACAGCTGTCCACTTCGGCAAGTCAAGCACAACTTGCGTCATCTTGAAGTCAAGAAAGAACATGTGACTACCAGCTCAGAGATCTCTTACAGACTCTGGGCATTCGTGGTCACTCATCTTCGTCAGCGTCCATGCCCAGACCGTCAGATGGATCAGGTAAAGCTGGTTGAGGAAGTCATGCTGCGTGACCTGGACGAACACGAAAGTCTACGGGGTTCCCGCGCGAAGAGGCTGGCGCAATGCTATCTTCAATGAAAGCGAACACCGTACGAACGTGATCCATGCTTCTGTGCTGGATCAGGTTGTCAAGCTGGACCTTGAGTTGGAGAGAGCGAAGGCAACAGAAGATCGGCTACGCAATGACTGTGATGAAACGCGTCATACGGCAGAACAAATGCAGACTGACGTCTTAATAGGAGTGCCGCCCCTTCAGATACCACCAGCTTGGGCGACAGACATCCGAGGAGAGAAGATGGTGGAGATGAAGGTGATGGACCATCAGCGCCAGATCCAGCAAGATATCCTGACAGAGGAAGCAGGGGCGGTGAGCCACCTCGACCTCCTGAGGACCCAGGTGACGACGATGCTCTAAATTTCACTGATGTCAAGATACCGAGACGGGAAGCAAATAAGATTGTGGTGCCACCGTGTCTGATTGTTACGTATCTTGACAATTGGATGATGCAAGCAATTGCGAATTTGCTCAGTCCGTGTGCAGACCCGAGTCAGGAGGAATGGATTGCTTTGTTTTCTACGGCTGTCAAGACCCAGTCCTGATATCGAGGGACGGCTACGCCAAGATCCGAGTCAATTGCCTTGTGTCCGAGCCGCCCTCTCGTTTTGGCGTTAAGGCGACGACTTCAACTGGTTCAAGATGAAGAGTCAGATTGCGCTACGTTGGATGAAGATGCGGATTCTGGTTGTTCAAAGGATGACGAAGTCAGTACGCCTCAAGCGGCCATTGCAACAAAGAATCTCTCTATGTGTCATTCTCGCAAAACACAGTCTTTGAGTCGAGCAGACGATCACCTGGGCAAATAGGTCAGTGGTTAGACTGATTGCAGATCAGCAGGTCCCTGGTTCAAATCCGGGTGTGCCCTCATATTCCACTTATTTCTGGCTTGTCTGGAAAATAAAAGACAAGCCCTCAGCACGTTCACGTCGTATTGTACGCTTCGCATGTCGATTGATGATTTGCAACACAATTTCCTTTGCTCCTTGATGCTCATGTGCATGTCATGGCTTGTGAATCTGAAGGAGCTTCGATCCGAGAAAGCTTTCATGATGGCTGGGACGCCTTGGGCAGTTCGAGAGCGTCAAGCCTTTGACTATGACTGCGTCGGCCAAGTTGTCCGCGTCGACCCACGCAGGGTCTCCCTGTGGCCAAGCAATTCACTGGTCGTACAGCCGTGCCTACCGCTCCGCGTCGCACAGTGTTAGTCTTTGGTCGATCATGATGGGTCGCATGCAGACCCATGTCGGTGACTACGCACCCTTCGACAGGCGGTAACGAGAGCACTCCATGGAGAGCACAAGGCGTTTGCAAACAACCGTTGGTCGTCCTCTATATCCAAGCAGAAGTGCTGACATCGCCAAGCTACAATGCCAAACTCAGTGAGAGCCGAATGTGTTTGGTTGGACGTCTCGACTTCAAGCTGGTGCCCGACGAGAACCACTTTTGGAATTTCAAGTATGAGGAGACTATCTTAGATACTCCTTGGAAGGTGAAGTCTGCCTCAACGTCAGGTAAACGCCGTTTTACCGGGAGCACCGCACCGCAGAACTCCGCAGCGCACGCTTGAGAGCTTGACCGACGTGCCCGATGGACCCGACGACGCAATGTGTGAAAAGCGTATCGAAAACATGGTTTCCATCCAGCATTCGCCTGTCGAGAATGAGGCCCGCGAGACCAAGCTCAAGGATGCAGGTGATCGGACTCGCGAACAGCAAATTCAACACAGTGACCGGATTTGCCCAGCGTGTCTTGTCTGCCTGGCACGGCGCACAGTGTGCTTTCCAGACGACGAATGTCTGAAGGGAAACTCGTCACGAGATCCCGAGGGATGATGTTCGGTCAGTGTCGAAAGATCGAAGCAGAAGCTGCAGCGGAAGATCCTGCGCACCCACTTACACGGACCTCTTCGCCGAGAACGCAACTATCGCTACAGTGGGTGAGCTTGAGGGCGAAGAAACCTACGCCGCGATCGAGATCGAACCTGGGACATGGGCGATGACCTGCTGCTCAAGGGCAAGCTTCTGACGAACGTCAAGCCGTTGTCATGACTACAAACAGTGGACAGTGTCATCACGCGTGCTAGGCTGAGGGTTAACCGGCTAGTTTCCCAATGCCATGTAATCAAGTTGCGTTGACTCGAACTTTTCAGTGTCAACCTTCTCTGACTACCTAGCTTCTTCGTGCAACAGGCGGGCGTGGAACTAGCCTACAAAGTGGACGACTATGACGAGAGCCGTTATGGAACAACAGCTCGCGAATGGGAACCGCTATAACATCTCTGGTACATGGAGACCGTTGGCAGAAGCCGACCTTGCAACAGGAGTCAGTAAAGATATTTTTACTGACGAAGAGATCCTAGAGTACGAAGTATCTTCAAAATTCTCTGAGGAAGATTCGCGCGAGCCAGAAAGTTCCCCACTTGCTTCGCAGTGCGTTTCAGGTGGGAGTTGGAAGAGAGAATTTCCATCCTGAATCAATCCCGGGCGAGAAAAGTCGCTGAACGAGGTGCGCATCTGCTGCCACACCATGATTCCCAGGTTTGTTGCAAAGACCTACGGCATCTCGCCGGGGTGAAGCGGCAGGAGCGGGACCAGCCAGGTCCAGGACCAGGACCGAAGCAGGAGTAGGAGCAGCAGCAGCAGTAGCAGTAGCAGTAGCAGTAGCAGCAGCAGTAGCAGCAGCAGCAGCAGCAACAGCGCAGTAGCAGCA